CGCACAGTGGATTGTAATTGGTGCCATGTTTCAACGTACAATTGTATACAATTTTTTTTATTAATAAAAATGTTTTTGAAGTAATTGAAGGAAATTGATCAGGTTTACTTATATATATAAAAAAAAAAAAAAATAATTTATTAAAGTAAACTATTGGATTGCTAGAACCCTTGTGTAAAAAAAAAAAAAAAAAAAAAAAAAAAAACGGAATGAAAAATCTTTTTATTACTAGTATTCTGAACGCTTCATATAACAGTTCAGAGTTAATAATTGTGCGGCCGTGTCTTCAGAGTTAATAATAGTGCAGCAGTGGCGTAGTGGTTAGAGTGCTTACTTTATAAGCAGGAGATTGAGGTTCTAAGCGAGCTTTGGACATATTTCGCGTCACGGTAAGGAAGGAGGCGTGAACTTTCTGGTTAAATGCACTTCCACGGTGCTCTGCGAAAAGTTTAAAAAAATATTAAAAAACGTAGGTCTACGTTTTATATGCTACATCTTTTCTAAAAAAGTTTAAAATATCATGCAAAAGTTTAAAACTTTAAAGAGCAGGTTTTAAAATCGTTTTTTTAACCTAATGAAAGCAAATCACTAGAGCAACAGAAAACGTTATTTTTTATAAACTTTAACAACCTTTGAAAAAGTAAAAGCTTTCCCCATTTTTTATAGCATATTGTGGTCCTACCTGTTAAAAAAATTAATACCTAAAATATCGCAACGACTTTTTAGGAAAACATAAATACTTTAAAAGTAAAATTTTAAAAACTTATTCTTGATCCGAAAATTCGACAAAACTATCTAATCGATGACGATAAAAGTCAAAATTGGGCCGATAAAAGTCAAAATTTTAATAATGCTTTTTAAATGGGGAAAAAACTCAGATTTTTATTAAAATGCATTACAACAAAAAGTATATAAAATAAAACATCCATTTAAAAATATATATATTTAATATTCTATATACTATCAAATTTAAGTTATATATTTTAATAAATATATACTTTTTTAAATGAATTTTAAATTTTTTAATAAATAACAAACGCTAAAAGCTAAAACGGCGAGATGCTTAATTAGAATAGAATACGTAAATGTTATTAAAAACAATGTTCAAAGAAATGGCGTTTAAGAGTGTGATAGTTGTGTTTTTATAAATGTATAAAATTTTGAATCTTAAAGCACTTTCCTCAAATTTTCAGGTTTTATATGCAACCAGAGATCACCACAAGGTTCTCTTATTCATAATCAGTAGTAAAAAGTGACTCGGCTTAAGTAAACTAATATCTTAAGTATCTGATAAAAAAAGTCAGCTAAAATATTGTTTTTCATAGTTTATGAACTATAACCATTACCACGATACAAAAAAAAACTAATGAAATAGTTTATGATATAATGAAAACCTCAAAGCTATAACCAAATTATATAGATGGAATTAAAAATACTGAAGCTGTTTATTGAGTTCACGTTTATTCAATTGAATAAAAGAAATGAAAATTAAAGGTTTGTTTATTAAGTATTATATATATATATATATATATATATATATATATATATATATATATATATATATATATATATATATATATATATATATATATATATATATATATATATATATATGTGTGTGTATATATATCATCTTGGTAATGATTGTATATTCTTGTTAGCTAATGTAATAAAAATACCGACATATTATATAAAGTACATTGTTACAACTTGTAAAGGAATGCTGTGTAATCCAACACTGCTAAATGCTTTGCATGGGATTTCTTTATCTGTGTGGTTGGATTAAGATCTCATTTTATGCTTTTTTGACACTTAGATAAATTATGAGTTTCTTGTATACTTATTTTTAATATTTAAACCAAATATCAAACCAAATTTCACAAATCAATTCACAAATTTTAGCAAGCAGCTCATGTTGGAAGTAGCAGAAAAGCAAGTAAGGCATATATTGCTCTAGAGTTCCACTTTGCATTACAAATATTAGGTAATGCTTTAAAACTAATGTTATTTTTCCTTCATCACTTTTGAGGAGGCTACTTAATTGTAATTATAACCCTTTCTCAACTCAAAAAACAAGGCTTCTGCACGGAGGCTCAAGTTGAGCGTGGTATTACCAGGGACATGGTGGGGATCGAACTTGGATCCTATTGCTTATCAAGCAATGGCTCTATCACTACATCACTACCCCATTACCAATTTATATAAAAACAGCGTGTCGTTGCTCCATTTGATGTTTTTAAATTTTATTTTTACATCAGTTTGTTGAAAATTATTTTTTAGATTCAGATAGTTGTCACTGACTTCTTGTACAAAATCATAAGGTATATTGGGAGATGTTGTCTTTCCACAAAGAACTGTTTTTGTAATATCAAACACATTTGCAAATTTAACATAAACACATTCCTTATAGTATTTCAAAAAGTTAAAATATTTTTCAATTAACACATCAATCTTACTCACTATTAATTTTTCTGTTATGAGTGGAAAATTTAATTTTTAC